ATAGCAGCACTCTCAACAATAGCCAAATTATGGAAAGAGCCTAAATGTCCATCAACTGATGAATGGATAAAGAAATTGTGGTTTATATACACAATGGAGTACTACGTGGCAATGAGAAAGAATGAAATATGGCCCTTTGTAGCAACGTGGATGGAACTGGAGAGTGTGATGCTAAGTGAAATAAGCCATACAGAGAAAGACAGATACCATATGGTTTCACTCTTATGTGGATCCTGAGAAACTTAACAGGAACCCATGGGGGAGGGGAAGGAAAAAAAATAAAAAAAGAGGTTAGAGTGGGAGAGAGCCAAAGCATAAGAGACTGTTGAGAACTGAGAGCAAACTGAGGGTTGATGGGGGGTGGGAGGGAGGAGAGGGTGGGTGATGGGTATTGAGGAGGGCACCTTTTGGGATGAGCACTGGGTGTTGTATGGAAACCAATTTGACAATAAATTTCATATATAAATAAAAAAAATTATTAAGAATTTCAAGACGGCAACATTAAACCAAGTATTGGGCTCTTCTAAGTGCTAGGCCCTAGGGGACTGCATAGATAGCATGCCCCTGAAAACAGCTGTGAAGACCGGAGAAAACATAGGCTGAAACATGGAAAGGAGAAGAATTCTATGGAGTTTGAATGGTGCTCCAAATGAAGAGTAAATAGATCCAAAAAGTGGATGGGACTTGGTGGTGATCACCAGGAGAGCTGGAGAAGATACATGTAGCAACATGGTCTTCCACTTCTGCTTATGCTGAGCAATAGTTGAGAAATAAGAGAAACATTTATTTCTGGACTAAAGCATTGAATGCAGGAAACGGTTTGCAGAGGCAGAGGAAAGCCTCAGGTTCATGGTATTTACCAAGAGCAAGAGGAACTCACAAACTGAAGACATATTCCCTGCACTTCACACCCTAGAGGCACAAACTAACCCTCTTATACGATAACTGGAGGGAAGTTGCTCTAATCAGAAACTTCGTACACAAATGGGAAAATAGGAAGTTTAAATACCAGTGTGAAATGAACAAGCAATAATCATAACATTTCCAAAAACCAAACAGTGAAAGGCAGAAACTCTGAAAACCGAAAAATGATAATCTGTGAAAAAATAGAAAACATTTAAAAATCAGCTTAATTTGGGGCACCTGGGTGGCTTGGTCGGTTAAGTATCCAACTTCAGCTCAGGTCATGATCTCACGGTCCGTGAGATCGAGCCCTGCGTCGGACTCTGTGCTGACTGCTCAGAGCCTGGAGCCTGTTTCAGATTCTGTGTCTCCCTCTCTCTCTGACCCTCCCCCATTCACGTTCTGTCTCTCTCTGTCTCAAAAATAAATAAACGTTAAAAATTTTTTTTAATTTAAAAAATATAAAAATCAGCTTAATTAACCTTTGAAAATAAATGTCAGGGATGATCCTAGCTAAAAATATAAGCAAAATAGGTGTTGATGGAATAAAAACATTCATAGTTCTTGTTTTTTAAAACCATAGACAATGGCTTACCTGTTCAGTCTATTCAAGTGATGTTTTGTGGGTGCCTGGGTGACTCAGTCAGTTGAGCATCAGATTCTGGTTTCCACTCAGGTCATGATCTCAGGATCTTGGGATTGAGCCCCGCATCAGACTCCATGGAATCTGCTTGAGATTCTCTCTCTTTCTCTCTCTGTCTCTCTCATCCTCTGCCTCTCTCTCCCACTCATGTCTCTATCTCTAAAAAAAAAAAAAAAAAAAAAAAAAAGATAAAAAGATGTTTTGATGGATGTTTCTACTTTTAATATATTTTCATTTCTCAATCTTATCCTTTATAGTTAGTGATTTTTGCAGTTGAAATCTTTGATTCATCTATGGGGCACCTGGGTGGGTCAGTGGGTTGAACGTCAGACTCTTGATTTCAGCTCAGGTCATGATCTCAGGGTCGTGGGATAGAACCAGCCCCATGTGGGGCTCCGCGCTGAGCTTGGAGCCTGCTTGAGATTATCTCCTCTCTCCCTTTGTCCCTCTCTCCTGTTCGCTCTCTCTCTGTCTAAAATAAAGTAAAATAAATATTAAAAAACAAAAAACAAAAAAAACAAAAAAGGTATCTTTGATTATCCTGAGGTCAAAAACGTACTCCCATATGTTATCTTGTAAATGCCCTGTTTCTTGCCTTCCACATTTATAATGACAATCCATCTGGAATTGCTTTGTGTGCTGAGTAGGGTGAGAAGAGGGGAGGTTGTCAAGCTCCTGCCCCCACTGCGTGCAGACACTGAATACACCTGCACCATTAATTGAAAGAACTGTTCTTTCCCCACTGCTATGCAGTGCTGGCTGTATCACAGATTACCCACGTAGGAGTTTCCTCCTGGGTTTTCGTTTATACTTTGTACAATATCGGTGTCTTAATTGTTCTAACTTCATATTAAAGCTTGATATTCAGTAGTTTGTATCTCTCAACTTTGTCATTCTTAAAAATTGTCTTGGCTCTTTTGGGCCCTCTGATTCTCCATATAAATTTTAGAATCAGCTGTTTAATTTCCACAAAGATAAAACACTGAGCTTTCGAGTGGAAAGGCAATGAATCTATAGATCCATTTAGGGAAAACTGATATCTTTAAAATGTTGAAACTTTTCATCAGTGAACATCCCTCCATTTATTTAAGTCTATGATTGTCTCAATAATGTTTTCTAGTTTTCTTTTTTGAGGATTTGCCTAAGTACTTGAAACTTTTGATGCTATTTATAAAGGGCGTTTAAATTGTTTTTTAATTTTTTTTTAATTTTATAGTCTTTGTTAGTTAGAAATAAAATTGGTTGTTTTTATACCAACCGTATCTGTAGACTCCTGGGATTTCTACATGAAGAAATGTATCACCTACTAATAATGACAATTTTATTTATTATTTTCCAATCATACTTTCTTTTTTAAACCTTATGGCTCTGGCAAGAACTATAGTCTGAAGTTGAATAGAAGTAGTGAGTGCAAGAATTCTTGTCTCATTTCTAATCCCAAAAGTTTTATAGGGTATGGCTAAGTCAACTTCAGTAAATTATATTATATGGCTTTCCAAAGTAGTTTTATGATTTTGTACTTCTAATGGCAGTGCAATATTTCCAGTGGGGATACTAAGCATCTATGTGTATTTAGACTTTTAATAGTCTGTTTTAATATTTCTCCATTCTCCCTTCCATTTTAAAATTCAGCCCCTGGAAGAAAAACAAAACCATTACAGAGATTTGCTTCTGAGCATAAAGTGAGAATGGAGAGGTTTGAGGAGGGGGGTGGGGTTGGACAGAAAGCAGGATCCAGAAGGAGGTATCTGGTTTACTCCATATTCCAATATTGTTACATTCTTTATATCTCTAATATATTCTTGTGTGTTGTTTTTATTTCCAAGGAAAAGAAATTGGGAAAAAAGATAGAAAGGTAAAATAAAAATAGAACTTTAAATGAACAAACTTGAAAACATTAAAATTACTTAAGTGTACATGGGCAAAAATGAATTTTTATCTTTACTTGACAGGATCTTGGCTGATGACACAAAAAGAAAACCAAGTGCAGGTATGTACTCCACAAATCCGGGTATAATTGCACCCTCCCACAGCCCTCCCAGTCTGAGGCTTGCCTTCACACCCCAGAGAGAGACTTGGGTCAGGATAAGATATGAGGACACATCTTCACAAACTTACACTTCATTTGAAGTTTTTTATTTTAGCTTTTCTACAAATTATTTGGATATTTAGATACAGGTTTTAGAACACTAAGTAAGTATATGGATCTGAATGTTTGGTGTTTTTTTTTTTAACTGATTTTCAGGGTGCTTGGGTGGCTCAGTTGGTTAAGTACATGACTTTTGGTTTTGGCTCAGGTCATGACCTCATGTTTCATGTGTTCGAGCCCCACATCAGGTTCTGGGCTGACAGCACAGAGCCTGCTTGGGATTCTTTCTCTCCCTTTCTCTCTGCCCCTCCCTCGCTCATGCACGCATGTGTGCATGCTCTTTCTCTTAAATAAATAAACTTAAAAAATAAAAAATATAAAAAATAAAAAACTGATTTTCTTCCCAACTAAAACTTCATAGTGATTTTTCACTCCTAAAAAAAACACATTTATATTTCTTTTCCTACATATTTTGAAAAATGAAACTAATGAGACTCTGGAAACCAGAGAGTATTTAATCTTGAAAACTACACTTAAACATAATTATATTTAGATCTCCTCCACATTTTTACCTGCTTTGAAGCTCTCTACCACAGCACAAACAATTTATTGGAGGATATTGGAGAGCTTATCAGCTGACATGCTGTTAATTCTATTTTGTCAGTATTGCTTTCATTAGTGCAACAGAAAGAAAATTGCATGACATTCCCCGTTTTAAGTTCAATTCTTATTACAAGTTTTGTGTACTTCTCTCTTCCTTGGCAAAAAAAAAATTTCTTTTAAAGAATGCCAAGTTCTTATGTGAACCTAAATGCAATGGTGATGAAAATAGCATTTGAGTGGGTTCTTAGACTCCTCATCTGAACAACTGGATAGAAGACTGGCCTTTCAGTGTGAGAGGACAGTGAGCATGTCCTTTGAATGTGGTCTTCTCTCTAAGCCATCCCTTTTTATGAAGGATGGGCTATTGAGCTATTGTTCGATTTCTAAATGACTCCATATTGTATAAAAACAGAGCATGTCATTTCATGCACACATTGAAGAGAGAACTCAACTGGGCAGCAGAAGACCTGGTTTTAATCTCTGTTGGTTTGTACGAATCAGCTAGATGATTTGGGGCAAGATGCAACTTCTTGAGGCCTGATGTCTCACCTGGAAATGAGGCATTTGTATTTGATGATGACTAAAAGCCATTCCAGGTCTAACAGTCTATGTAAGCTTAGGAAGAGAAAACTAGTCTAGTAATTTCTTAATGATGCAGCTTTAAGTTGTATTAGAGGGAGAAATAGGTGGTTATAAAATTTTAATTATATTCAGAACTGAATCAAACAGGCGAGAACGTTGGAAAGTAGCAGTGATGCATTGTGATACCTTTTGTTGAAAGAAACCATTTGAGTGTGCTTCCTCTCCTCACTCCTGGGCTTCCTACACAACTTTCAGTTTCTAGAAATAAGGGGAGGAACACAGTATTTAGCAATTGACTTCAGACTGGGCCTGGAAAACCCTAGAATTCTATGTAGCTCTTCAGAGAACTTGCAAACATTTGATCTGAATTTCACTTTTCAAAGTAAACATTATATATTTTATATACAAACATGTATATCTTTATTTTACAGTGTTTGCTTATTTAACAAATATTCATGGAGTGCATATTATATGTCGAGAAGAGTCCTCAAGTCTCAGAATTCAGGAATGAACAGAAACAGTCAAAAATCCTTGCCCTCCATTAAATTTATATTCCAGTCATGGTAGAAAAAAAAATTAAAAAAGAAACAAAAAAGGTAAATTATATAACATACTAAAATTGTATAAGGGTAACAAAGGAAAATTAAGCAGGAGCTACAGAATCAATCAGGAGATTAGAATACATCTGTCTGAGAAGACATGGTTTAATAAAGACTTCAAGGGAGCGGAGAGGCAGCCAGACGATAGCAGATGCGAAGGCCCTAAGATTGGAGGGAAATCGAAAGAGAAGAAGCCAGAGGAACAGAGGCCTGTAGGCCATCACAGATCTCTGGCTTTTAACACAATGGAAAACTTTAAACCCTTGATCAGTGCTATGTGGTCCAGTACTTTTATGTGAAGCTCATTTGTATTCTCTTCATGCACATTGGAATATGGTACTGAACAAGAATATTTTATTTCTAACCTAATCTTGTTCAAAATCAGGCCTGTACCAGTCCACTCAAACAAAAACTATATACATTTTTATGACAACAAATGTGGTTAAATTTAAATTACATGCCAGGCAAGACTTAGGTACATCTGTTTATGTCACTTTTCCAGCAACACGCAAATCCATAACATATTGGTAATGTTAAATTGTGATTAGCTCTAACCATCACTTTAGGTTTAAATGACTTCTAATCAGACTTCTACTTATTGATTAAGAATACAAGCAATTTTTAAATATTGTTGTTCTATGCAACTCAAAATTTAAAAAATTCCATTTACATTCTCTCAGGCTTCCAGAGAAGGTTATTAAAAACATCTTGAGGGGCACCTGGGTGGCTCAGTCAGTTAAGCATCCTACTTCAGCTCAGATCATGATCTCACTGTCCCTGAGTTCAAGTCCTGGGTCGGGCTCTGTGCTGACAGCTCAGAGCCTGGAGCCTGCTTCAGATTCTGTCTCCCTCTCTCTCTGCCCCTCCCCCTACTCATTCTCTCTCTCTCTCTCTCTCTCTCTCTCTCTCTCTCTCAAAAATAAATAAACATTAAAAAAATCTTGAGACTTCACAATAAGCTGCTATGTGTTACAAAATTGGTATTTTTTTCTACTGAACAATCAAACAGAATCCACCTGGAAGTTGGGTGTTGAAACTTACATGACTGCAAATACCATCCAGAGACCCCAATATCAAGTCATTACATTCATTAAAACAGGCTCATACATCTCACAAACTGAATTAATAATAAGCAAATGCTATACATTTGAAATTACAAAATAAATTTATGTTAATAAAATTGCCCCTTTGGTTAATCTATGTAATTTTTACAGAGTTGGTGCCTAGTGAGAAATGGATGGAAGGTGATTCTGTAGAAATTGCAAGTGCAAGCAAGTAAGAGAGTGTATTCTCTTCTTTTAAGTCTTCATTATTCACCACCACCCCCCATTGTAAGTAGAAAAATAAGTTTTGCATTTACGTGTGTGTGTGTGTGTGTGTGTGTGTGTGTGTGTGTGTGTGTGTGTGTATCTCCATCCTTGATGAAGCCATTCATGCTAAATCATTTGGTGAAAGTTTGCTGGAAAACAGAATATTCTTATTATTTATATGATACCAAAGAATTACCTCATAAGTTAGTTAATTTCTAAAAGGATAAAGAGTGCCTTTGTGAAAGAAAGCTTTCATAAACTACTTTAGCCAAGTGATTAAGTTTAGTGTTTGTGGCTCCAGAGATGATGAAATGGGAAGTATACAATGCCACCTATGTAGTATTGTCAACATTTCTAGAATCTAATCATGAGGAAACAGCCAGTAAAATCCAAACTGTGAGACATTCAAAGACAACTGGACTACACTCTTCAACATGTTTCTGTCATAAAAGACAAAAATTGTTTCCAAATTAAGGAAGACTGAAAATATATCACAACTAAATGTAAAACATGAACCTTGATTGGATTTTTTAAAAAACTATGAAGGATATTTAAAGAACAATTAAAATTTTTAATATGTGCTATTAGATATTATTGTATATTATACCACTGTTTAAATTCTTGAGAGTGAAAATGGCATTGTGATAACGTAGGAAAATGTCTTTAAAAAAAATTAAAAAAAAAAAAAAAAAGGGGGCGCCTGGGTGGCGCAGTCGGTTAAGCGTCCAACTTCAGCCAGGTCACAATCTCGCAGTCCGTGAGTTTGAGCCCCGCGTCGGGCTCTGGGCTGATGGCTCAGAGCCTGGAGCCTGTTTCCGATTCTGTGTCTCCCTCTCTGTCTGCCCCTCCCCCGTTCATGCTCTGTCTCTCTCTGTCCCAAAAATAAATAAACTTTGAAAAAAAAATTAATTAAAAAAAAGAAAATGTCTTTATTCTTGAGTGGTAAATACTGAGGTATTTAGAGGAAAAGTAACATGATGTTATACTTTATTTTCAAGTGGCTCTGGGTGGCTGAGTCGGTTAAGTGTCCAACTTTGGGTCAGGTGATGATATCACGGTTTGTGAGTTCGAGTCCTGTGTCAGGCTCTGTTCTGAAAGCTCAGAGCCTGGAGCCTGCTTTAGATTCTGTGTCTCCCCCACTCACATTCTCTCTCAAAAATAAATAAACATTAAAAAAAAAATTTTAAATCAAGTGGCTAAAAGGAAAAAAAGAAACTGGAAAGGATATATATTTACATAGATAGATACTTAGATACATAGATAGATAGAAGGTATATAGATAATAAAGAGCACACAAATGTTATAAAATTTAACCATTTGTGAATATAAGTGAATGTATTTATTTATGTGTATTTACATATGAATGTATGTGTATGTGGGTGTTCATTGTGTTATTCTTTCAACATTTCTTCAGGGTTGCAATTTTTCAAAACAAAAGGTTGGGAACAATATAGTCTGAATAATTCTGACCTCAAAGTCACTTCCCACATCAGGGGAATGTTTGCCCACACTGGTCACCAAATGAGACTAATTAACAGCATTGATTAGGCAAGAATGCCTAAGTCACACTGTAGAAGGACTGTAGACTCAATAGCTTCGTCCAACTTCAGTCTAGCTCATTTTCTTGCCTTAATTCACTTAAAAAAAAATGCCTGGCAAAAATGTAAACTTTTCTATCCAAACCCAAGAAAGAGCTTCAGAGCACATGGAATTTAGCACCAAAGGAATTATGAAGTGATATTTGCTCAGATTTTTTATGTTTATTTACTCACCCTAAGAAAAATATCTGCCTCCAGGATTCAGAGGAGGGCATGGCTGATCCTGCAAATTTCATTGTTGGGAATATCAGGGGAAAACAAATATACATTTTGGAATCCTAAATCATGGCCTGCAGGAAACATAGGCCCTTTGCTTTCTATCCTGGAGATTCTGCTCTCAAGGTTTAAGAAAAATGTTGTGCAGGTCCCAACTGCCCAGAGTTCATCATAAAGGGAGCATCTGTGTTTACAATAGGACTCTGGCTTTCAATTCTAATCTGCCCTTCAGTGCCTGATCTACATGAAGCATCCTGGGCTCACAGGCAGCATTCTAGCTAGCCTGTTAGAAGGGTCATGAACTACAGCCATACCAGAAACCAAATGGAATCGGCAGTCACCTCAACTGTCATTTGTAAGGCTGAGATAAACAATGAAACTATTGAATAATAGAAAAGGGTCTTTCTTCCTCTCACTGGTGAAACAAATCTTAAAATATGAAGATCAAGGACTGCTGGAGATAAGAGACACCAAAGAACTGAAACCTCTTAACAGCAGGTGGTATCAGTGGGGTCTGTCTTTTGAAAAATGTGTCAGGTCCTTTTGGGACTATGTAAAACACTTCTGGTTCCTATGGTGACACTGATAATACTTTGTCAATCATTGTGATATCGAGATCTACATTAAGCAGTTTAAAAAGCACCTTGAAATGCTTGAAGGTTAAATTAGTTCCTCCTCTAAATTGCTTGGTGTCAATTGTAGTTGTGATCATTGGAGGAGATACACTCAGTTGGTGAGAAATACTGACCAATGTGTCTTACCTCTTATAAAGCTCTGGAAGAGACAAAGCCATAAACTGTGAGTCCCTTCACCACAGCCCCAGACGCTAATCAAAGTAGTGTCTCCAGAGTGAAAGAGACTAAGTAATTCATTAGTCTTCGGGCTGTGCCCAGACCCTCACTTAAGGAACCCCATTCACTGCAGTATTTCCCCTTCTAAATATTCTAAAGGCTAGCGGATTATTTGCCTGGCTCTTCCTTAATTCATTTGTTTCTTAGGAAAGGGCATTCTGTAACAAACTTTTGTGGAAATATTGCCACAATTTCAAGCAAGACTCCTGCCACTGCCCTACATCAGAAACCTTTTTTGTGGGGTTCGATTAACCATTAACCACAAATTTTCCACAAACCTGGAAAAGATGCACTTTCTGTTCTTTCTCTTTTACTGCCTTTGCACTTCTTAATTCTATTAACAATAAATAGAATTTTGCCAAGTTGTGAAGTAAAAAACTGAATTTCCAAGTAGACAGACATCCGGAGTTTTGTTTGGCTCATTCCTTCAAAATTCGAGATTGGCCACTATTTAGTTTATGTACCACACTCTGAACCTTTGCAGGCTTCTCTTTTCCAGCAGGGCTGGACTGACTGGAGGAGCCCTTTCTTCTAGTTCTGTCCCATTTCTCTTTAATGTGACATCAGTGTTCCAATGGCTTTGACTGTAACACAGGTATTCACCACAGGCCTCAGTGTTTACAGACTTGCTGTGTGACTTCAGTGTCACTTTTGAGAAGCTGTTTTCAATGAGATTGTGAATATCTGGCTATAAAACAGGTAATTATTCTTCAGAATAAGGAATAGGTTATTAGGTATTTAACACACTATCTGACCTACCCTGAAAAAAAATCATTTTAGTATACCATTAAAAATTTTCAGAAAAATAAAATAGTTCTACCACCAATACACTTCCAAAATAAAAAGAAAAACTCGGTTTCATTTGCACTATTAAATCAGAATTGTACCAAATCTTTTATGAGTATACTGTTTGTGATTTTAGTTTATAAAAGATAATAAACACATTTGTTCATTTTCAGTACATGAAGTTGACACAATGTTTTGCCTATTTTCATGTCATAATAATAGTAATAATAACTAATATTAACTGAGCACTTAAGGCCTGCTGTGATTCTTTTACTCCTATGATCTTTGTATTTATCTCATTAAGTAGGATCCATTACTGTTCCAATTATACAAATGAGGAAACTAAAGTCTTGTGAGGTGACCAAACAAGGATAACAGGAAAGCTGTTCTGACTGACTCTAGTTTCTGAGATCTTAATTGCCACACTGATAATGTGCCACAGCCACCCTTGTCCCTAACGTTCGTGTTTTCTCACATTTCGTACAAGTTTACAGGGATGTTAGTCCGCCTGGGGTACGATAACAAAATATCATAGACTGAGTAGCTTAAACAACATAAATTTATTTCTCACAGTCTTGGAGGCTGCGAAATCCAAGATCAAAGTGCCAGCAAGGTAGGTTTTCTTCTGAAGCCTTTTCTCTTGGTCTATAAGTGGTTGCCATTTTGCTCTGTGCTCATATGACCTCTTCATTCTGCATTTACAGAGAGAGAGAGAGAGAGAGAGAGGAGAGAGCGAGAGAGAGAGAGAGAGAGAGAGAGAGAGAGAAGAAAGAAAGAAAGAGAGCTCCAATGTCTCTTCTTATAAAGACACTGATTTTATCTAAACCTCTCAGATAAGAACCCCACCCTGATGACCTCATTTAACTGTAATTACTTTCTTAGAGGTCCCATCTCCAAATACAGTCACAATGGAGGTTAAAGCTTCAACATATGACTTGGCAGGGGAGCACACAAACATTCAGTCTTTAATAAAAGGTAACTTAGTGTATTTCCAAAAGAAAATTATTCCAAGTTCATTAAAATGCTAACAAATAGGAACCTCTCAACTCTAAAATTTCCCCTTTAAAAAACCTGCAATATCACATGCACTGTAGACTTCATACGGACAGAAGATTAAAGAAGTGAAATTCTTCATTGTTCACATCAGACTTAGCTAACTGGTTGAATGATAGGTGGCCCCTGAGAGGGGATTGTATCAAAGAACTAAAGCAAAAATTTAAGCAAAACAATGAAGCCCTGCCTGTGTCTTTGGGAAGACAACTTTGATCAGACTGGATAAATTCATCAGCCCCTAGTGGATACCTTCACTCTGCCTGGGCTATGTCCTACGTTCACTTAGTATGATAGAAAAAAAAAAAAAAAGCATAAATCTAATCACATGCTGTAATCTAGGCACACGTATATTTATACACTTAGAGATTAGCATACAAATTCCAAATAACAGAGTAAAAAATCATCAGTAGTGGCATTTTCTAGAAATGTAGTTTGTATTTCTTTTTTAATTACGCCTAATCATTGCATGATTTATGTGGAAAAACAAGTCTAAGAGTAAACATGTGCATTATGTACA